CACTAAAAAAAACAACAACACAGTAATATTTTGAATAAAGAGCATTCTTTGGCATACTTCCTATTACATAACTTTCAACATTTAATGACAAAAATCCAGCCAGTGATCACTGCAACACTTGGAATTTGTTTTGCAAAATGTGCTAACGTGTGTGAAATTGCCATACATGGTAGCCCATTTTTCTTCATCTTCAGCTTATGCACAGTTCTTTGTATCAGGATTATTTTATTTTATTCCAAGGCACTGAATTTCAAATCCTTGATGGTGCTAAAAAAAGACTGGGCACTCTAGAGATGGAACTGTTGAAAACTGGTAGAGCTGCACATTGTGTCTCCTAAGCATTGGTGTTTATGAATATCTAAGCTGGGATTTTAAAAATCTAGGGCAATAGGTTAAAAAAAGAGTCACTGGCTCAGATTAACTGATGTTAAACCAATAGCAATGTGTCAAATAATGTTAATTTGAGGCCCCATTTCATTTGTTATTCTGGTATAAGAGGCCACATAGCATGTGAGCAGTGTGTGAATCTGAGCACGCTGGTTTGTTCTGTCTGGGAATGAGGTTTCCTACGGTAGTCTGAGTGACAAACATCTCAGAGCTTGCTCACATTCCTCTGTGGAATAGTCACTTTTGAGAGAGAGAGGTGTGGCTTCGTGGTCTGGGAACTGGCCTGTCAGCCAGGAACACAGAGTTCTCATCCTGGAACTAGTTCTATTTTCTTTATGGATCAGATCATGCTAATGAATCTTTCTAGGACTCAGTTTACCCAGTTTAAAAAGCTGGTTAGGAAAATCTAACTGGGGTATATTGAGTACTAATGAATAAATATCTTTTAAACTAATGAAAAGTGATATGAATGTAAGGAGATGTAATTTTCATAAAATAGGTAGTTTTATGAAACAAACAAATAATAGAACAGTTTTGTCCTTTAGAAATATTACCCCAAAATAAGAAATTTCATTTTAATGTTTAAATTGTTTATTTCAAATTTTCTAAGTAGATATTTTTACTCTAAACACTTTTCTTTTGTAAGTTAACATGTGAAGTATTTTGTGTGATACAAATAATTAAATTCATAATTAGCTTCCATTTAAACATAAAGAGGTAAACTCTTTGTTCTATATAGCAAAGGGAAATCTTTTCTGAAGTGCCATGCACTGTAAGAATATAACCATTATTAACCTTAAAATTTTAGAGAAAAAATCAGGATCAAAGAAATGTATAGTCAATCTAGAGCTTGAGCAGGGTGGTATAATGAACTGCGTGCTTTAAAATGATAAAGATTTCCAAGACTAAGATGTGGGTTCCAGAAAGAGAAATTTGTGCCCAAATAAAATGGGGGCAGGAGGAGGGGATCTGATGATTGAGTAATTGTGATTTTCTTTATCTGAAAGAATGAAGTAAAAAAAATAAAATAAAATAAAACCTCAAAGGCAGACGCTCCATTCTGGTGGCTCAGCTGGTCAGCATTTCCCTACCCCAAATCCAGCCTCCCAAAATGAATCAGTCTCATGTGTGAAATTTTTAAAAAAAATCCCTAAAACTTCTACAAAAGAAATTATGATTCTTCACACTAGGGAGCTTTAAATCTTCTATCTCTACACCCCCCCACACCCCTTTTTAAAAATGAAAACAAACAACACAGTGGATCTTCAATTCTGTGTCTGGGATCTCAAATTTGGCTCTGAATATGTGTTTCAAATCTCATTAATTACAACATTGGCCCCACGAGACTACAGTTGCTGATGCAAAGAACATTCTTTGTACTAGAAATAATTTTAACAAGGGCAAAGAAGCATTTTATTTACCTGTGTAAACATTAAGAGGAAAATAAAATAGAGATGGTTCCGGTAGCTGCTGAGATGTTCTAATGATAATTGATTTGATTACTTAAGCTTTAAGGTTACTGTGTACAGCAATAGTCATGTTTCCACTTTGTATATTTGTTGGATGATAACATTCTTGTAAAGGTAACTGACATTATCTTGGCAAGTTCTGAACTAAGACCTTTTAGCATTTTATTCTTTCCAGATACTAAGATAATTCCATACCCCACTGTGTAGATCTGTAATTTATTTATTTATTTATTAAATATCAGAAAATACAACCTTCCCCAAAGGACTGTTGTAAGTAACAAATATGGGTAAAATACAACCAAATGAATAAATTAGAGCAGTAGACTGCAAACAGCCTGTCTTGTTTTCTTTCATTTTCCTTTCTATTTAGGAAATAGCAAATGAAACTATGGCTATTTGTGGTCTTGTACCATAAGAACACATGTGGTCATACATTTTCATGCCATTAACAAATTCATTGGCTCAGTGAGTAGGAAGTAAAGTCCACTGTAAAGACGCTTAATGCCTTATGCAGGAAGGGTCATCTGTTATGTATAGCCATAACCTAAAAAAAAATCTCGCTCTGAGATCTGATGGTACATATTGGCCGTCTTTAAATTGATACTAAAGAGTAGAGTTAAGCATCCCTTATTACATAGAAGAATCACTTGGAGCTTATGAAAAGTACCGATGCCTGGGTCCAGCCCCAGTGTTTCTGATTTAATTAGTCTAGTGGGGTCCCAGATCTTGGATTTTAAAACTAACGAATAAATCTTCCTAAAGCAATTCTAATGTGCCACGACTGAGAACCATGGTTAGAGAATCCCAACGTAGGTGCAAAATGCCTAATTTGTTTTTAGATAATAGTACCAAGCCCACTCTTAGTTTTTTAATGGAAACCTTACCTTGTTCCAGGTGTGGGCAGGAGCATGGATTAGCAGCTGCCAGACTCCCTCCTTGACAACATTCTCTACGCAGCACCTTATAGGGAGTGTTCTATGGGTGAGGGAGCCCTGAGATGCTACTAATTTTTTGGGTTAAAGCCAATGGAAGTAGATAACTGAATAACAAATTACATAATGCTAACCTTGAAGGTGGAGTCTATAAACAGTGGCAGTCTTATACACATTTGAGCTTTTTGAGCAATACTTCAAAAGAGGCTTACTGACTCAGCGTCACTCATGGTTCTTCAGAGTCTGTGAATGCTATGTCCCCACCACCAAATCACTGTAGGTCATTAGAAACAGAAAAGGAGAATTTTGAGTTAGAAATGGCAAATTTCTTCTCTTGGAAATTCATCAATTTAAGCCAATGTGATGTTTTTTTTTCTCTTTATCCGCTCTTCTATTGGCTGAACTTTTGTTTTTTTAATAAAAGCACTTTTATTTTTCTTACACCTTTTTTATTATAATCAGTCCTCTATTGTTTTTGTCATCTTCTTTTGCTATCATAGTCTGTCTTCTTCATTGAATCCTGTTTCTTTTATTCTTCTCTCCTGTCTTTTTACACTTTATCTTTCCCAATTTTTTCCCCATTTTCCTTAACACCAATATAGCAGTTCCTTCCTCTTGTTTTTGATTTATGTTTCGTTGCCAACCCCTTTTCTGATTCTCTCTCTCATTTTTACTAACTGCCCTTCCTTAACCTTCTGTTGATATTTTATTCCCATCACTTGCTGTCAATGCCCACACAAGCCCATTTCTTTCCATTCCATCTATCTCATCTTCATATGAATTTTTATGATCCTACCACTAAAAGCTTAAAGCTATATGTAAAGAATAGAAAGGTACCTGTCTCACTTGAATCCCATCCCATTTCCTCTTCCCTCCCATAGTTGTTCCATGTCTATTCATCCTTTCCTGATGTTTCCCCTGGTCCAACCGCCACCTGCATCCCTCCTTCCCGTGTCACTCCCTGTTTGAAGCCTATCTCTTCTTTCTAACCCCGTTTGCATTCTGTCTGATTTTACATCCAAGGACCTCCACAAGATAAAGGATGGAGTTCTATGGGGAACCAGGTTGTGTGTGTTTCAGAAACTTTTGCTCATTTACTGAAATGGGATTAGGGGCTTGGATTCAGAAATAACCTCGGGCAGCCTTTTCAGCTCCCGGCACAGCTCTGCACACCTTGGAGTTCGGGATGGCTGGGGCCTATTCTAATGGACTAGGACAGGGATGTCTTTAAAGGTCTTCTATGGCCCTTCCCACGTCAGAGGCCAGGATGAGTAGACATCGCCGACCAGGCAGGAAAACCAGGCCAGGTGGGCATGATCCGAGCCCTTTCAGTAGCACATTTGGCAGGAGATCTGCTGCATGGAGGGGCAAGGGAACGCTGAGATCCTAGCAGTTACCGGGCCATCTGTGGGCGGCAGGCTCACCGCTAAAGAGGAGGCAGGCCCGAAGCCGGGTGCTCCCCCGGGGCGCAGGGCGCAGCCCCAGGGACCCGGCGACACCACCCTGGCGGCGCCAAAGGCCTGAGGCGCAGTCACTCCCCAAAAGGGAAGGCGAGTTGCTCCCGGTCGGTCTGCTGGAAGGTCGAGGGAACAGCGAGAGTATCCCCTCGCCAGCCAGCCTTCAGGGAACTGGGCTGGGGCAACACCCCACGGAGGAGGGCTGAGGGCGGCAAAGATCAATCCTGGGTACCGGCGCGGGGTCACAGACACGAGAGAAGCGGGAGAAGGCTGCTGGGGGCCCCCAGGGTGGCTGGGACCGTAGGGTCTGTCCGTGTACACAGCCGGCGCCCCGAAGTCTGGGGCAGCCAAGACTCCAGCTCTGCCGGCTCCTGCCAGGGACTCCAGGCCGCACTTTCCCCTCCTCCCGGCGCCTTCTCTCCAGTGAGGAGCCGCGCGCGGGCGGCGCAGGGGGAGGGGCAGCGACGGAGGGAACAGCCAGTTGTTTAAAATCCTTCTAGAGCAGTTTCTAATTCCCCCCTTGCGCCGGGGTTCGGAGGGGGGAGGGGGAAGGAGAGCGGGAGGAGGGAGGAGAGCGGAGAGGGAAGGAGGGAGGGAACCCGGGAGGGAGGGAAGGAGGGAGGAGACTGCCGCTTAGGCTGTAGCTGCCGCCGCGCGCTTCGGAAGGGCCGGAGGGAGGGGGAGGCCTGTCAGTCTCGCTCGTTGCCTGGGCAAAAAGGGCGGAGCTTTGGCGTGGGGTGGCCAATAGTGGGGGTGGCTGCGTGGGTCGCCATGGGGACGGGGCTGTTCCCGGGGAGGCTGTGATGGGTTGACAGGTGCGTGACAGTGGGAGCTGCTCTCGGCACAAGCATGTACGGCAAAGGCAAGAGTAACAGCAGCGCCGTCCCGTCCGACAGCCAGGCCCGGGAGAAGTAAGTGTCTCCGCTTCTCAGCCACCTCCTCCTGCACACGCGCGCACACACACGCACGCACTCGCACACTCTCTCGGAGACACACAGATACACAGACACTCTCCGCCGGGGGAGAGCCGGGGGTGGGCTGGCAGGGGGAGGGGTACGCGAGCTGGGGGCTCGCGGTGCGGGGAGCGGCTGACTCCCAGGAGGAGCTCGCGCGGGGCGGGCGGCCGTGGGGTCTGCGGGCGGGCGGGAGCGAGTGTGCTGGGGGGCGGCGGCGGTGCTGGTGGAGAGGATGGAAACTTGTTTGGGTGATTGAGGGAAATAACCCGCGGGTTCACCTCCTTATAAAGTAACTTTAGAGCTGGGGTCCGGGGCTGCGGGGGCCCGGAGAGCCACCGGGGGTCGCGGGGAGGGCGGGAGGGGGCAGCTGCGTGGAGGAGGGAGCGCGGTGGGAACGCGGGTGTTTGGAGGCGCCGGCCGGGGTCGGGGCGGTCCGCACGAGGGGCGCCACGGCAGGGGCTCAGGCGCTGGGGATCGGGGCGGGGAGTGCCGGGCAAGGCGAGGGCGGCGGTGCGGGGAGCGCGGCGGACGGAAGCCCGGCGCGGAGCAACCGAGCGGGGCCCCGCGGGGCGCGGAGACGCGCGCCGGGGCGCGGAGGGCGTGTGCGGGCGTGGACCGGGTGGGCGTGGGGGCTCTCCTGGGCCCGCGGAGGGACGCCGCGCTCTCAGTCCCCCGCGCCCCCCCCTCCCCGGAGCTGGGGCAGGGGCGGTGGGCGCCCGCGGAGCCGTTGAAGTTTGGGAGTCTGAGAAGGACCGAGTTCCCGGGGAGGGAAAGTGTGCTGGCGAGGAGAGGGATCCGCTGGAGCAGGCTGGCGTTTCTGCCTCTCGCAGCCGAACCAACTCGGCGGCGGCGGCGGCGGCGGCTGGAGAACTTTTTTGGGAGACTTGCTGCTTCCCAAATACCTGGGGGCCGCGGCTGCCTGGGCTGCGGGCCGGGCGGTGGTCGTGGGGCGCGCGGAGGGGGGTAGTCGTGTGAGCTGCAGAGGCCGGCGCGAGGAGGGTTGTGTGTGGTGGGCAGTGGGCAGCAGTCCGAAGAGGGATTTGCGGAAAGGGGAGAAGCGTAGAGGTGGGAAGGAGTTGTTGGATCGGGGTGAAGGGGAGATACAGGTGTTAACTTCGGTGGGAGCCCAGGGGAGGCTGGCAAGAAAAGAGCCCCTCCGGGCTCGGGATGCCACCGTCACGGCACACTGCCTGCGTGAAGCAGGGTTGTTTGCTGCTATTCTTGTGTACTTGTAACGGTGATTTGGTTGTTACTAAAAATGAGAGTGAATAGTGACTGTGATCACTGAGGAAGAACCCCTCGCTTCGGTGCAGCAGATCAGTGCTTCCCAGTAACCACCTCCACCCCAGGGTGAGGCTTATCCTTGTCACTGACCACGCTCTCTCTTTCCGAGGGGTTTCATACTGGGGGAGAGCCTGAGAGCATCTCCCAAAAGCTACTTTGGTTACCTTGCGCACGGAAATAGCTGCATAAATAGAAACCGAATTCGCGACTTTCCCTCTTTGCTTTATAGGCAGTTAGTCTTCGTCTGAAAGTTTCTTGTGCCCTAGGGATGGGAGCATTTCCTAATCTTTGGGTTGGCAGCAACACAATCCCCATAGGATTTAGGGGTGGCAGGCCTTGATGTAGCAAAACAACAACAAAAAATTAACGGAGAGATACTGGGGTTTTGGTGTTTTTTTTTTCCCCTCCCCGTATTTTCTGAGGAGCTACATTTAGGATCTTTTTGCTGTGACAGGAAATATATGAAAGACTTAGCATCATAGACTGGTTAAGAAACAGCAGTTATTGGAATTGAAGGTTTGAACTAACAATTTAATTTGTGTGCGTTAATCATTTGGTTGTAACATAGCTGATAAAATAAAAACATTTAGAGGAGGGTGTTTTAATGATTACAGATCATTTGGATTTCATGTTCCTGGGAGTGAAGGAATTGAAATGTATTGAGGCATAATCTTATTTATTTGGGGGAGGGGGATGTGATTGAATTTGAGAAAGTAATTCTAAATTTTAGTTGAACTCCCTGGAATGGCTGAATCTAATCTATACCCTGATACCTTAGTAAAAATTTTTTTTTTAGTATCTGAGATAATTAACGAGGAAGTTAGACCTGGCATGTCTGTGGTCCTTTCTAATTCTAATTCTGTGATTCTGTCATGAAAACAAATAATTGCCACTTTTGCTGTCAGATCTACCAAACTGAACACCGAATAACATCTACTCTTGTAAGCAAAGTGGTGAGAGTTCTGCTAGATGGTGCTATTTGATTTAAATATATTTCTTCCATTCATTATAATTGGCATCAGGCATCCTGGACTGGCTTGCCTTATGAACTAAATATAGGTGAAGAGGCTACTTTTGGAGAATTGACAGTGACTGTTCTGGGTTAATTGTTGTTGCATTCATTTCTAGGTGAATGTTTTTTTAATCTAAGGCAATCATTGAGGTATATTCTGTTTTATAGAATAAACTTAGTTTCATTTTGGTGGGAGAGTTGATCTGATCACTCACTTTTTCCCTTTATGTTTTCTTGGGACTTAATGGCACTGTTCTACAACAGTGTACTAACTTCTGAACACAGGAATCTTGAGGTTGTCTTTAAAATGGATGTCACCAGATTTAGACAAAAAATCTTTTATGGTGGTAGATTAAAAAGGTAACTGAGCAAAGAAGAATTCTCTTTTAGTAAGCAAATTGGAATTGTCTTAAAAATCACAGAAATAATTTGTCTTTCAGTAATATGTAAATATTTTTAATAAAAACATTCTGAAAAATGAGTCATTAATGGCATGCACATAAAATAAAAATAATGGTTTTATAATCTATCAAGACATACATTTTCTAACATGCGTTTATAGTGGGGTAACTGACAACTGCTTTACCTATATTATATCTTTGCTTTCTCCTAAGAAGTCACCATTGGAATACTTGAAATTAATTTGTTGGTTTTACAGTTTCTATAATTTTAGTATACAGTTCTGAACATAAAAATGGCATAGGCAACATAGTCAATAATATCATAACTGTGTATGGTGACAGATGGTTACTAGACTCATTGAGGGATCACTGCGTAAGGTATATAAATGACTAATCACTATCTTGTACACCTGAAACTAATGTATGTCAACTATAATTTAAAAATAAAAATTTAAAAAATGGTCAGTCAGGTTGATTACTTATTTTATTGTTTTAAAGACCAGACAGATCAAGTCTATACAAAGGTATGGATTAGGTTTAATTATAGAGGGAATGACTGAAAATCCTTGGAGGGAGGTGGGATGTTTGTGTAGAAATTTAATTCTGATTCTGTTAGGTCATTTCTTCGTTTGGGAGGCTTTCTTTGTAGCACAGACCACAATTTAATTAAGTAATTATGTAATTGGTTGTTTAATGTCTAGCCTCCTCTTAAATGTAAGTTTCTTGAGGGCAAGGAATGATACTTCTAATTTCTTCTCTGTGATATCCTTGACATTCAAGGTAGTGCCTTAGTATGTTGAAAGCACCAAATAACTATTTGAATAAATGAAGTTGTTAGATTCAAAGGAATTTTTTTTCAATGTGAAAAAAATCTTTTTCTGTGACCTCTAAAATAAGGACTTTGGAAGTTTGAGTTCCACGTTCTGTAGCATAGTTGTATTTCAAAAATAGCCAGTCATAGCAACACAGCAATTATTATTTGTCATTCTATGTGCCAGTTACTGTGTTCAGTGCTTTATGCATAATTTCTCTAATTCTCCCAACAATTCTGCAAGATAGTGATTTTCTTTCTCCATTAAAGAAATAAGAAAAGTAACTTGCCCAGGGAATCACTGCTAACTGGGTTTCTAACACAGGTTTCTCTAACTTGAGAACCTGTGGCTGAAACTAAAAGATACATTTTTCAATATACCAGATAGCCTTCCTCAGCTAAGAGTGGGAAGCCACAGATTTAGGGAACAGCATTGCATAATCAGATGTAAGAGACTTGAAAGATTTGATCAGATATGTAATCTTAACTATTGGTGAACCCTGGTACTTATACCCTCCATTTTGATAGACTGCAAATATGTGCGTGGTATGGGGAAGACAGAAATTTTAGGAGTGAACATTTAAAGCTTAAATAATGGAGAATTTTTGTTTATTCAGATTTTTTTTCTAGGAATTTTGTTTGATCACTTAAATTTTAAAATTAGATATTGTAGTAGTTATGAACAATTCCTGTATAAAATGTTGCTGAACTTTAAGCCATACTGCTACAGAGAGATAACTGCCACCTACAAATTGATGAGTAGTGATGATTGATTACTTTTTTTATTAAGCTAATTTGATCCTCTAAAAGTATGTAATAGCACAGAAATATGAATCTACTATAAAGCAAAGTTGAACATATGATACACATACCAGACAGTGACATTATATTAAATAAACTACAGAAACCAAACTGCATCTAACCTGGGGCTTTGAAAAGTAACTTTGGTTTTTAAATTATGAATCTTTCAGTTAAATATACCAAGAAACAAATATCATAGATATGCCCATTTTTACGTGGTCACAGAAATGAACATTTAAATACCACTCTATGTTTATTAGATTTAGCATCTGCCAGCATCACCTTATCCTCCTGTTTTTTTTACTAGTCACCCACCCTAAAAAAATGTTAAACCCTCCCTCTTGTCTTTCTTTCTGAAGGAAATAAAATTAAGACAAATGAAGTAATACAGATCTCTTTAGAAACTTGATTGACGAGCAGTTAACGCAATTCAAGATTTCTAAAACTAATGAAGGAACACCATTATGGGAATGAAATTTTCTGTAAGATGTTAAATTGACTCTCCCCTTCCCAATCCCCAGGATGTTTCCTCCAAAATGATAAAGAACTTGTATCTAATATGTCATCTTGCCTGTGAGAATTTTTCTTTTGATTGTTCTTTTCCATTATTTTAGAAGTATTCAAAAACTAAAACTAAAGAAAAGAA